GAGTATTTGAATGAGTATTTGAGTATTTGAATTAGTATTTGAATGAGTATTTGAGTATTTGAATGAGTATTTGAGTATTTGAATGAGTATTTGAATGAGTATTTGAATGAGTATATGAGTATTTGATTGAGTATTTGAGTATTTGAATGAGTATTTGAATGAGTATATGAGTATTTGATTGAGTATTTGAGTATTTGATTGAGTATTTGATTGAGTATTTGATTGAGTATTTGATTGAGTATTTGAATGAGTATTTGAATGAGTATTTGAATGAGTATTTGAGTATTTGAATGAGTATTTGAATGAGTATATGAGTATTTGAGTATTTGAGTATTTTAATGAGTATTTGATTGAGTATTTGAATGAGTATTTGAATGAGTATTTGAATGAGTATTTGAGTATTTGAATGAGTATTTGAATGAGTATTTGATTGAGTATTTGAATGAGTATTTGAATGAGTATTTGATTGAGTATTTGAATGAGTATTTTAGTATTTGATTGAGTATTTGATTGAGTATTTGATTGAGTATTTGAGTATTTGAATTAGTATATGAGTATTTGATTGAGTATTTGATTATTTGAATGAGTATTTGAATGAGTATTTGATTGAGTATTTGAATGAGTATTTGAATTAGTATTTGAATGAGTATTTGAGTATTTGAATGAGTATTTGAGTATTTGAATGAGTATTTGAATGAGTATTTGAATGAGTATATGAGTATTTGATTGAGTATTTGATTGAGTATTTGAGTATTTGAATTAGTATATGAGTATTTGATTGAGTATTTGATTATTTGAATGAGTATTTGAATGAGTATTTGATTGAGTATTTGAATGAGTATTTGAGTATTTGAATTAGTATTTGAATGAGTATTTGAGTATTTGAATGAGTATTTGAGTATTTGAATGAGTATTTGAATGAGTATTTGAATGAGTATTTGAATGAGTATATGAGTATTTGATTGAGTATTTGAGTATTTTAATGAGTATTTGATTGAGTATTTGATTGAGTATTTGAATGAGTATATGAGTATTTGATTATTTGATTATTTGAATGAGTATTTGAATGAGTATTTGAATGAGTATATGAGTATTTTAATGAGTATTTGATTGAGTATTTGATTGAGTATTTGATTGAGTATTTGAATGAGTATTTGAGTATTTGATTGAGTATTTGAGTATTTGAATGAGTATTTGATTGAGTATTTGAATGAGTATTTGAATGAGTATTTGAATGAGTATTTGAATGAGTATTTGATTGAGTATTTGAATGAGTATTTGAATGAGTATTTGAATGAGTATTTGATTGAGTATTTGATTGAGTATTTGAATGAGTATTTGAATGAGTATTTGATTGAGTATTTGAATGAGTATTTGAATGAGTATTTGATTGAGTATTTGAATGAGTATTTGAATGAGTATTTGATTGAGTATTTGAATGAGTATTTTAGTATTTGAATGAGTATTTGATTGAGTATTTGATTGAGTATTTGATTGAGTATTTGATTATTTGAATGAGTATTTGAATGAGTATTTGAATGAGTATTTGAATGAGTATTTGAATGAGTATTTGAGTATTTGAATGAGTATATGAGTATTTGATTATTTGATTGAGTATTTGAATGAGTATTTTAGTATTTGAATGAGTATTTGATTGAGTATATGAGTATTTGATTGAGTATATGAGTATTTGAATGAGTATTTGATTGAGTATTTGATTGAGTATTTGAATGAGTATTTGAATGAGTATTTGAATGAGTATTTGAATGAGTATTTGAGTATTTGAATGAGTATTTGAATGAGTATTTGAATGAGTATATGAGTATTTGATTGAGTATTTTAGTATTTTAATGAGTATTTGATTGAGTATTTGATTGAGTATTTGAATGAGTATTTGAATGAGTATTTGAATGAGTATTTGAATGAGTATTTGAATGAGTATTTGAATGAGTATTTGAATGAGTATTTGAATGAGTATTTGAATGAGTATTTGAATGAGTATTTGATTATTTGAATGAGTATTTGATTATTTGAATGAGTATTTGAGTATTTGAATGAGTATTTGATTGAGTATTTGAATGAGTATTTGAGTATTTGAATTAGTATTTGAATGAGTATATGAGTATTTGATTGAGTATTTGATTATTTGAATGAGTATTTGATTGAGTATTTGAATGAGTATTTGAGTATTTGAATGAGTATTTGAATGAGTATTTGAGTATTTGAATGAGTATTTGATTATTTGAATGAGTATTTGAATGAGTATTTGATTGAGTATTTGAATGAGTATTTGAATGAGTATTTGAATGAGTATTTGATTGAGTATTTGAATGGAGTATTTGAATGAGTATTGAGATGAGTATTTGATTATTTGAATGAGTATTTGAATGAGTATTTGAATGAGTATTTGATTATTTGAATGAGTATTTGAATGAGTATTTGATTGAGTATTTGATTGAGTATTTGAATGAGTATTTGAATGAGTATTTGAATGAGTATTTGAATGAGTATTTGAGTATTTGATTGAGTATTTGAGTATTTGAATGAGTATTTGATTGAGTATTTGATTGAGTATTTGATTGAGTATTTGAATGAGTATTTGAATGAGTATTTGAATGAGTATTTGAATGAGTATTTGAGTATTTGAATGAGTATTTGAATGAGTATTTGATTGAGTATTTGAATGAGTATTTGAATGAGTATTTGAATGAGTATTTGAATGAGTATTTGATTATTTGAATGAGTATTTGAATGAGTATATGAGTATTTGATTGAGTATTTGATTATTTGAATGAGTATTTGATTGAGTATTTGAATGAGTATTTGAGTATTTGAATGAGTATTTGAATGAGTATTTGAATGAGTATTTGAATGAGTATTTGATTATTTGAATGAGTATTTGAATGAGTATTTGAATGAGTATTTGAATGAGTATTTGAATGAGTATTTGATTGCTGTGCAGATGGTGTTTGGTCCAATGGGAGTGATGCTGGAACATGTCTGATATATCTGTGACATTAAACTGTGGTTACAGCAGAATCTGCTCCATTTAAATGAGGACAAAACTGATTATATTTTGTTTGATGATTCACATGTTTCAGATTTTGGACTGTTGTCTTCTTGTTTAAACCAATGGTCAGAAACCTTGGTGTTGTTTTTGATGTTTCTTTTTGTTTTGACAAACAGATTGACAGTGTGGTCAGGTCAAGTTTTTATCAGCTGTGTATTTTAACTAATGTTAAGCCTTTTTTAAACCGCTCTGACCTGGAGAAAACCATCCACGCTTTTATCAGCTCTAGAATTGATGACTGTAATGCCCTTTATTTTGGAGTTCCTCAGTCTTGTTTTAATCGTCTCCAGTTGGTACAAAATGCTGCAGACGAGAACACATCACCCCCGTCCTTTACTCCCTACTTTGGCTCCAGTTTCTTTTCGAGTTGATTTTAAAATGTTTGTTTTTAAAGCCCTCAATGGTCTCGCCCTCTGGACTTGTCTGAACTTTTGTCGGTTTGTGACTAAGGCAGATCATTGAGGTCCTCATCTCAGCTCCTCCTGGTACCTAGCCTGGCTCTGCCAGACCCTTGTAGTTCCGCCATGCTCCACCAGAGGCGTTTGGCTGAACCACATGGGTCTGGTATCGAGCCCATAGCGAACGCCTTCCCCAGATTATTTTTTAATCGACCAATCAGGATGGCCGGTGTTACGTGGGGTTTGCACTGCCTTCTCAAGCTTCTCTCATGCAGCAGCGAGAGGAATCCAAGATGGCGGACGTAAAGTCGGCGAATCTTTTTAAAAGAGTAAATACGATCGAAGACACGGATGTCACTTTTAATGCAATTTGAGGCGAGATGTTGATGGTTCTATGTTGATGGTTCTATGTTGATGGTTCTATGTTGATGGTTCTATGTTGATGGTTCTATGTTGATGGTTCTATGTTGATATATGTGTGTTTTAAGAGTCAAATGTTCCTGTAAAGTTTGGTTGAAGCACTGGTTCAGTGTTCCTGTTTACACACTCTGCAGCAGGGTTGCCAGGTTTGGTGGTTCCTGTTTACACACTCTGCAGCAGGGTTGCCAGGTTTGGTGGTTCCCGCATATTTTTTTCCAAGAGACTTGTAGGTATTAAATAAACAGAAAGACAATAAACACAATCATGATAGCCCAAGTTGATTATATTACGTTTTTAGGATTCTCGCGGATTTTGGGTTGGAAAATCTTGCTGGGATTTGGCAACCTATGGGAGCCGTGTGCTTCGATGTGAGTGGTTGAAAGCAGACTTCATTCAAGATAACGGACAAGTGGTCTATCCAATCACATACAAGGATTTTTTTACAAGGCCCTGCCGTCTGAAATCCAACCACTGTGGCTCAGTACCAGACTCATGTGTGAAGTGCAGCGAACTACATGGGTCTGGAGAGAGTCAGGCTAGGAAGTACCTAGGACTAGGTCCAAACACTGAGGAGACCGGTCCTTCTCAGTCCTGGACCCAGACTCTGGACCCAGACTCCAGAACAAGCTGCCCCCTGATATGCCCGTCCTCACTGATTTTGGCCTTTTTAAATCCAGGCTCAAAACGTATTAATTCAGACTGACTTTTCACACTTTTATCACTCATTAGCAGGCGACACTTTTTAAATGTTTTTATCTGTTTTAATGTATAAATGTTTTAAAGGATTTTATGTGATTTTATTGTGTAGAACTTGAGTGTTGTAAAGGGCTCTATAAATACAATTGATTGATTGATTGATTGTAGATGTAGTAGTAGCAGTAGAAGTAGTAGTAGTAGTAGCAGTAGTAGTAGTAGTAGTAGTAGCAGTAGCAGTAGTAGTAGTAGCAGTAGTAGTAGCAGTAGAAGTAGTAGTAGTAGTAGCAGTAGCAGTAGCAGTAGTAGCAGTAGTAGTAGTAGTAGTAGCAGCAGTAGTAGTAGCAGTAGTAGTAGCAGTAGCAGTAGCAGTAGCAGTAGTAGTAGCAGTAGCAGTAGCAGTAGTGTGTGAGACTCACAGGAGTAGATGAGAGCGGGGAAGATGGGCTCGTTCCGTTCCTGCGCCGTCTCCACCAACATCCGCAGAGGACCTTTGGGAGACAGCACCGCCACCAGGTCTGGAGGAGAACAGCAGCATGGACTCAATATACAGCTCTATACAGAGACCAGAGAGAGAGACCAGAGAGAGAGAGAGAGACCAGAGAGAGAGAGACCAGAGAGAGAGACCAGAGAGAGAGACCAGAGAGAGAGACCAGAGAGGGAGACCAGAGAGAGACCAGAGAGAGAGAGACCAGAGAGAGAGACCAGAGAGAGAGACCAGAGAGGGAGACCAGAGAGAGAGAGACCAGAGAGAGAGACCAGAGAGAGAGACCAGAGAGAGAGACCAGAGAGAGAGAGACCAGAGAGAGAGACCAGAGAGAGAGACCAGAGAGGGAGACCAGAGAGAGAGACCAGAGAGAGAGACCAGAGAGGGAGACCAGAGAGAGAGACCAGAGAGGGAGACCAGAGAGAGACAAGAGAGAGACCAGAGAGAGACCAGAGAGTGACCAGGGAGAGACCAGGGAGAGACCAGGGAGAGACCAGAGAGAGAGACCAGAGAGGGAGACCAGAGAGAGACCAGAGAGTGACCAGAGAGTGACCAGAGAGTGACCAGGGAGAGACCAGGGAGAGACCAGGGAGAGACCAGAGAGAGAGACCAGAGTGAGACTAGGACATACCGTATATGGAGATGGCCCCCAGGATGACCCAGGCGGACCACTCTGGGAGGTACTTGATGAAGACCAGAGCCATGAGGGAGGAGACCAGGATGAGGTAGGTCTGCTGCAGGAGGAGGGGCCCTCTCCAGTGGATACACACCATCCCCACACAGCCAAAGTTCCAGATCACCAGCACCACACTGGGGTAGTCCACCGCCACGTTGTAGGTCTTAAACACCTCCCTGAGGACCAGGAGGAGCAAGGAGGTCAGGGGGAGCAAGGAGGTCAGGAGGAGCAAGGAGGTCAGGGGGAGCAAGGAGGTCAGGAGGAGCAAGGAGGTCAGGGGGAGCAAGGAGGTCAGGAGGAGCAAGGAGGTCAGGAGGAGCAAGGAGGTCAGGGAGGTCAGGGGGAGCAAGGAGGTCAGGGGGAGCAAGGAGGTCAGGGGGAGCAAGGAGGTCAGGAGGAGCAAGGAGGTCAGGAGGAGCAAGGAGGGGAGGGGGAGCAAGGAGGTCAGGAGGAGCAAGGAGGTCAGGGGGAGCAAGGAGGTCAGGGGGAGCAAGGAGGTCAGGGGGAGCAAGGAGGTCAGGGGGAGCAAGGAGGTCAGGGGGAGCAAGGAGGTCAGGGAGGAGCAAGGAGGTCAGGGGGAGCAAGGAGGTCAGGGGGAGCAAGGAGGTCAGGGGGAGCAAGGAGGTCAGGGGGAACAAGGAGGTCAGGGGGAGCAAGGAGGTCAGGGGGAGCAAGGAGGTCAGGGGGAGCAAGGAGGTCAGGAGGAGCAAGGAGGTCAGGAGGAGCAAGGAAATCAGGAGGAGCAAGGAGGTCAGGGAGGAGCAAGGAGGTCAGGGAGGAGCAAGGAGGTCAGGAGGAGCAAGGAGGTCAGGGGGAGCAAGGAGGTCAGGAGGAGCAAGGAGGTCAGGAGGAGCAAGGAGGTCAGGAGGAGCAAGGAGGTCAAGGGGAGCAAGGAGGTCAGGGAGGTCAGGGGGAGCAGGGAGGTCAGGGAGGTCAGGGGGAGCAAGGAGGTCAGGAGGAGCAAGGAGGTCAGGGAGGTCAGGAGGAGCAAGGAGGTCAGGGGGAGCAAGGAGGTCAGGGGGAGCAAGGAGGTCAGGAGGAGCAAGGAGGTCAGGGGGAGCAAGGAGGTCAGGAGGAGCAAGGAGGTCAGGAAGAGCAAGGAGGTCAGGGGGAGCAAGGAGGTCAGGGGGAGCAAGGAGGTCAGGGGGAGCAAGGAGGTCAGAAGGAGCAAGGAGGTCAGGGGGAGCAAGGAGGTCAGGGGGAGCAAGGAGGTCAGGAGGAGCAAGGAGGTCAGGAGGAGCAAGGAGGTCAGGGGGAGCAAGGAGGTCAGGAGGAGCAAGGAGGTCAAGAGGAGCAAGGAGGTCAGGAGGAGCAAGGAGGTCAGGGGGAGCAAGGAGGTCAGGAGGAGCAAGGAGGTCAGGGAGGTCAGGGGGAGCAGGGAGGTCAGGGAGGTCAGGGGGAGCAAGGAGGTCAGGGGGAGCAAGGAGGTCAAGGGGAGCAAGGAGGTCAGGATGAGCAAGGTGGTCAGGGGGGGAGCAAGGAGGTCAGGAGGAGCAAGGAGGTCAGGAGGAGCAAGGAGGTCAAGGGGAGCAAGGAGGTCAAGGGGAGCAAGGAGGTCAGGAGGAGCAAGGAGGTCAGGAGGAGCAAGGAGGTCAGGAGGAGCAAGGAGGTCAGGAGGAGCAAGGAGGTCAGGGGGCGCAAGGAGGTCAGGGGGAGCAAGGAGGTCAGGGAGAGCAAGGAGGTCAGGGAGAGCAAGGAGGTCAAGGGGAGCAAGAAGGTCAGGGGGAGCAAGGAGGTCAGGGAGGAGCAAGGAGGTCAGAGAGAGCAAGGAGGTCAGGGGGAGCAAGGAGGTCAGGGGGAGCAAGGAGGTCAGGGAGAGCAAGGAGGTCAGGGAGAGCAAGGAGGTCAAGGGGAGCAAGAAGGTCAGGGGGAGCAAGGAGGTCAGGGAGGAGCAAGGAGGTCAGAGAGAGCAAGGAGGTCAGGGGGAGCAAGGAGGTCAGGGGGAGCAAGGAGGTCAGGGGGAGCAAGGAGGTCAGGGGGAGCAAGGAGGTCAGAGAGAGCAAGGAGGTCAGGAGGAGCAAGGAGGTCAGGAGGAGCAAGGAGGTCAGGAGGAGCAAGGAGGTCAGGAGGAGCAAGGAGGTCAGGGGGAGCAAGGAGGTCAGGAGGAGCAAGGAGGTCAGGAGGAGCAAGGAGGTCAGAGAGAGCAAGGAGGTCAGGAGGAGCAAGGAGGTCAGGAGGAGCAAGGAGGTCAGGAGGAGCAAGGAGGTCAGGAGGAGCAAGGAGGTCAGGAGGAGCAAGGAGGTCAGGAGGAGCAAGGAGGTCAGGAGGAGCAAGGAGGTCAGGGGGAGCAGGGAGGTCAGGGGGAGCAAGGAGGTCAGGGGGAGCAGGGAGCCTGTGTCTGTAGAGTCTGTGTCTGTAGAGCCTGTGTCTGTAGAGCCTGTGTCTGTAGAGCCTGTGTCTGTAGAGCCTGTGTCTGTAGAGTCTGTGTCTGTAGAGTCTGTGTCTGTAGAGCCTGCGTCTGTAGAGCCTGCGTCTGTAGAGCCTGCGTCTGTAGAGCCTGCGTCTGTAGAGCCTGCGTCTGTAGAGCCTGCGTCTGTAGAGCCTGCGTCTGTAGAGCCTGCGTCTGTAGAGCCTGCGTCTGTAGAGCCTGCGTCTGTAGAGCCTGCGTCTGTAGAGCCTGCGTCTGTAGAGCATGTGTCTGTAGAGCCTGTGTCTGTAGAGCCTGCGTCTGTAGAGCCTGCGTCTGTAGAGCCTGCGTCTGTAGAGCCTGCGTCTGTAGAGCCTGCGTCTGTAGAGCCTGCGTCTGTAGAGCCTGCGTCTGTAGAGCCTGTGTCTGTAGAGCATGTGTCTGTAGAGCCTGTGTCTGTAGAGCCTGTGTCTGTAGAGCCTGTGTCTGTAGAGCCTTTGTCTGTAGAGCCTGTGTCTGTAGAGCCTGTGTCTGTAGAGCCTGTGTCGGTAGAGCCTTTGTCTGTAGAGCCTGTGTCTGTAGAGCCTGTGTCTGTAGAGCCTTTGTCTGTAGAGCCTGTATCTGTAGAGCCTTTGTCTGTAGAGCCTGTGTCTGTAGAGCCTGTGTCTGTAGAGCCTGTGTCTGTAGAGCCTGTGTCTGTAGAGTCTGTCTGTAGAGCCTGTGTCTGTAGAGCCTGTGTCTGTAGAGCCTGTGTCTGTAGTGTCTGTAGAGCCTGTGTCTGCAGAGCCTGTGTCTGTAGAGCCTGTGTCTGTAGAGCCTGTGTCTGTAGTGTCTGTAGAGCCTGTGTCTGTAGAGCCTGTGTCTGTAGAGACTGTGTCTGTAGAGCCTGTGTCGGTAGAGCCTGTGTCTGTAGAGCCTGCGTCTGTAGAGTTTGCATCTGTAGAGTCGGTAGAGCCCGTGTCTGTAGAGCCTGTGTCTGTAGAGCCTGTGTCTGTAGAGCCTGTGTCTGTAGAGCCTGTGTCTGTAGAGCCTGTGTCTGTAGAGCCTGTGTCTGTAGAGCATGTGTCTGTAGAGCCTGTGTCTGTAGAGCCTGTGTCTGTAGTGTCTGTAGAGCCTGTGTCTGTAGAGCCTGTGTCTGTAGAGCCTGTGTCTGTAGAGCCTGTGTCTGTAGAGCCTGTGTCTGTAGAGCATGTGTCTGTAGAGCATGTGTCTGTAGAGCCTGTGTCTGTAGAGCCTGTGTCTGTAGAGCCTGTGTCTGTAGTGTCTGTAGAGCCTGTGTCTGTAGAGCCTGTGTCTGTAGAGCATGTGTCTGTAGAGCCTGTGTCTGTAGTGTCTGTAGAGCCTGTGTCTGTAGAGCCTGTGTCTGTAGAGCATGTGTCTGTAGAGCCTGTGTCTGTAGTGTCTGTAGAGCCTGTGTCTGTAGAGCCTGTGTCTGTAGAAACCGTGTCTGTAGAAACCGTGTCTGTAGAAACCGTGTCTGTAGAAACCGTGTCTGTAGAAACCGTGTCTGTAGAGCCTGTGTCTGTAGAGCCTGCGTCTGTAGAGCCTGCGTCTGTAGAGCCTGCGTCTGTAGAGCCTGCGTCTGTAGAGCCTGCGTCTGTAGAGCCTGCGTCTGTAGAGCCTGTGTCTGTAGAGCCTGTGTCTGTAGAGCATGTGTCTGTAGAGCATGTGTCTGTAGAGCCTGTGTCTGTAGAGCCTGTGTCTGTAGAGCCTTTGTCTGTAGAGCCTGTGTCTGTAGAGCCTGTGTCGGTAGAGCCTGTGTCGGTAGAGCCTTTGTCTGTAGAGCCTGTGTCTGTAGAGCCTGTGTCTGTAGAGCCTTTGTCTGTAGAGCCTGTGTCTGTAGAGCCTTTGTCTGTAGAGCCTGTGTCTGTAGAGCCTGTGTCTGTAGAGCCTGTGTCTGTAGAGCCTGTGTCTGTAGAGCCTGTGTCTGTAGAGCCTGTGTCTGTAGAGCCTGTGTCTGTAGAGTCTGTGTCTGTAGAACCTGTGTCTGTAGAGCCTGTGTCTGTAGAGCCTGTGTCTGTAGTGTCTGTAGAGCCTGTGTCTGTAGAGCATGTGTCTGTAGAGTCTGTGTCTGTAGAGCCTGTGTCTGTAGAGCCTGTGTCTGTAGAGCCTGTGTCTGTAGTGTCTGTAGAGCCTGTGTCTGTAGAGCCTGTGTCTGTAGAGCCTGTGTCGGTAGAAGCCTGTGTCTGTAGAGCCTGCGTCTGTAGAGTTTGCGTCTGTAGAGTCGGTAGAGCCCGTGTCTGTAGAGCCTGTGTCTGTAGAGCCTGTGTCTGTAGAGCCTGTGTCTGTAGAGCCTGTGTCTGTAGAGCCTGTGTCTGTAGAGCCTGTGTCTGTAGAGCCTGTGTCTGTAGAGCATGTGTCTGTAGAGCCTGTGTCTGTAGAGCCTGTGTCTGTAGAGCCTGTGTCTGTAGTGTCTGTAGAGCCTGTGTCTGTAGAGCCTGTGTCTGTAGAGCCTGTGTCTGTAGAGCATGTGTCTGTAGAGCATGTGTCTGTAGAGCATGTGTCTAGAGCCTGTGTCTGTAGAGCCTGTGTCTGTAGAGCCTGTGTCTGTAGAGCCTGTGTCTGTAGTGTCTGTAGAGCCTGTGTCTGTAGAGCCTGTGTCTGTAGAGCATGTGTCTGTAGAGCCTGTGTCTGTAGTGTCTGTAGAGCCTGTGTCTGTAGAGCCTGTGTCTGTAGAGCATGTGTCTGTAGAGCCTGTGTCTGTAGTGTCTGTAGAGCCTGTGTCTGTAGAGCCTGTGTCTATAGAAACCGTGTCTGTAGAAACCGTGTCTGTAGAAACCGTGTCTGTAGAGCCTGTGTCTGTAGAGCCTGTGTCTGTAGAGCCTGTGTCTGTAGAGCCTGTGTCTGTAGAGCCTGTGTCTGTAGAGCCTGTGTCTGTAGAGCCTGTGTCTGTAGAGCCTGTGTCTGTAGAGCCTGTGTCTGTAGAGCCTGTGTCTGTAGAGCATGTGTCTGTAGAGCATGTGTCTGTAGAGCCTGTGTCTGTAGTGTCTGTAGAGCCTGTGTCTGTAGAGCCTGTGTCTGTAGAGCCTGTGTCTGTAGAGCCTGTGTCTGTAGAGCCTGTGTCTGTAGAGCCTGTGTCTGTAGAGCCTGTGTCTGTAGAGCATGTGTCTGTAGAGCATGTGTCTGTAGAGCCTGTGTCTGTAGAGCCTGTGTCTGTAGAGCCTGTGTCTGTAGAGCCTGTGTCTGTAGAGCCTGTGTCTGTAGAGCCTGTGTCGGTAGAGCCTGTGTCGGTAGAGCCTGTGTCTGTAGAGTCTGTGTCTGTAGAGCCTGTGTCTGTAGAGCCTGTGTCTGTAGAGCCTGTGTCTGTAGAGTCTGTAGAGCCTGTGTCTGTAGAGCCTGTGTCTGTAGAGCCTGTGTCTGTAGAGCCTGTGTCTGCAGAGCCTGTGTCTGCAGAGCCTGTGTCTGTAGAGCCTGTGTCTGTAGAGCCTGTGTCGGTAGAGCCTGTGTCGGTAGAGCCTGTGTCTGTAGTGTCTGTAGAGCCTGTGTCTGTAGAGCCTGTGTCTGTAGAGCCTGTGTCTGTAGAGCCTGTGTCGGTAGAGCCTGTGTCGGTAGAGCCCGTGTCGGTAGAGCCCGTGTCTGTAGAGCCCGTGTCTGTAGAGCCCGTGTCTGTAGAGCCCGTGTCTGTAGAGCCCGTGTCTGTAGAGCCCGTGTCTGTAGAGCCTGTGTCTGTAGAGCCTGTAGAGCCTGTGTCTGTAGAGCCTGTGTCTGTAGAGCATGTGTCTGTAGAGCCTGTGTCTGCAGAGCCTGTGTCTGCAGAGCCTGTGTCTGCAGAGCCTGTGTCTGTAGAGCCTGAGCCTGTGTCTGTAGAGTCTGTGTCTGCAGAGCCTGTGTCTGTAGAGCCTGTGTCTGTAGAGCCTGTGTCTGTAGAGCCTGTGTCTGCAGAGCCTGTGTCTGTAGAGCCTGTGTCTGTAGAGCCTGTGTCTGCAGAGCCTGTGTCTGCAGAGCCTGTGTCTGCAGAGCCTGTGTCTGTAGAGCCTGTGTCTGTAGAGCCTGTGTCTGTAGAGCCTTTGTCTGTAGAGCATGTGTCTGTAGAGCCTGTGTCTGTAGAGCCTGTGTCTGTAGAGCCTGTGTCTGTAGAGCATGTGTCTGTAGAGCCTGTGTCTGTAGAGCCTGTGTCTGTAGAGCCTGTGTCTGTAGAGCCTGTGTCTGTAGAGCCTGTGTCTGTAGAGCCTGTGTCTGTAGAGCCTGTGTCTGTAGAGCCTGTGTCTGTAGAGCCTGTGTCTGTAGAGCCTGTGTCTGTAGAGCATGTGTCGGTAGAGCCTGTGTCTGTAGAGCCTGTGTCTGTAGAGCCTGTGTCTGTAGAGCCTGTGTCTGTAGAGCCTGTGTCTGTAGAGCCTGTAGAGCCTGTGTCTGTAGAGCCTGTGTCTGTAGAGCCTGTGTCTGTAGAGCATGTGTCTGTAGAGCATGTGTCTGTAGAGTCTGTGTCTGTAGAGAATGTGTCTGTAGAGCCTGTGTCTGTAGAGCCTGTGTCTGTAGAGCCTGTGTCTGTAGAGCCTGTGTCTGTAGAGCCTGTGTCTGTAGAGCCTGTAGAGCCTGTGTCTGTAGAGCCTGTGTCTGTAGAGTCTGTAGAGCCTGTGTCTGTAGAGTCTGTGTCTGTAGAGCCTGTGTCTGTAGAGCCTGTGTCTGTAGAGCCTGTGTCTGTAGAGCCTGTGTCTGTAGAGCCTGTGTCTGTAGAGCCTGTGTCTGTAGAGCCTGTGTCTGTAGAGCCTGTGTCGGTAGAGCCTGTGTCGGTAGAGCCTGTGTCTGTAGAGCCTGTGTCTGTAGAGCCTGTGTCTGCAGAGCCTGTGTCTGTAGAGCCTGTGTCTGTAGAGCCTGTGTCTGTAGAGCCTGTGTCTGCAGAGCCTGTGTCTGTAGAGCCTGTGTCTGTAGAGCCTGTGTCTGTAGAGCCTGTGTCTGTAGAGCATGTGTCTGTAGAGCCTGTGTCTGCAGAGCCTGTGTCTGTAGAGCCTGTGTCTGTAGAGCCTGTGTCTGTAGAGCCTGTGTCTGTAGAGCATGTGTCTGTAGAGCATGTGTCTGTAGAGCATGTGTCTGTAGAGCCTGTGTCTGTAGAGCCTGTGTCTGTAGAGCCTGTGTCTGCAGAGCCTGTGTCTGTAGAGCCTGTGTCTGTAGAGCCTGTGTCTGTAGAGCCTGTGTCTGTAGAGCCTGTGTCTGTAGAGCCTGTGTCTGTAGAGTCTGTAGAGCCTGTGTCTGTAGAGCCTGTGTCGGTAGAGCCTGTGTCTGTAGAGCCTGTGTCTGTAGAGCCTGTGTCGGTAGAGCCTGTGTCGGTAGAGCCTGTGTCTGTAGAGCATGTGTCTGTAGAGCCTGTGTCTGTAGAGCCTGTGTCTGTAGAGCCTGTGTCTGTAGAGCATGTGTCTGTAGAGCCTGTGTCGGTAGAGCCTGTGTCGGTAGAGCCTGTGTCTGTAGAGCCTGTGTCTGTAGAGCCTGTGTCTGTAGAGCATGTGTCTGTAGAGCCAGTGTCTGTAGAGCCTGTGTCTGTAGAGCATGTGTCTGTAGAGCCTGTGTTTGTAGAGCCTGTGTCTGTAGTGTCTGTAGAGCCTGTGTCCGTAGAGCCTGTAGAGCCTGTGTCTGTAGAGCCTGTGTCTGTAGAGCCTGTGTTTGTAGAGCCTGTGTCTGTAGAGCCTGTGTCTGTAGTGTCTGTAGAGCCCGTGTCTGTAGAGCCTGTGTCTGTAGAGCCTGTGTCTGTAGAGCCTGTGTCTGTAGAGTCTGTGTCTGCAGAGCCTGTGTCTGTAGAGCCTGTGTCTGTAGAGCCTGTGTCTGTAGAGCCTGTGTCTGTAGAGCCTGTGTCTGTAGAGTCTGTGTCTGTAGAGCATGTGTCTGTAGAGCCTGTGTCTGTAGAGCCTGTGTCTGTAGAGCCTGTGTCTGTAGAGTACTGACCCCAGGTACATGAAGCTGAACCAAAACAGCAGCATGAGGGACGACAGGATCAGCCAACCATGAATGAACTGAGGAGAGAGACCAGAGATTAGTCCTGAGACCAGAGAGAGAGACCAGAGAGAGAGACCAGAGAGAGACCAGAGAGAGAGACCAGAGAGAGAGAGACCAGAGAGAGAGAGACCAGAGAGAGAGACCAGAGAGAGAGACCAGAGAGAGAGAGAGACCAGAGAGAGAGACCAGAGAGAGAGACCAGAGAGAGACCAGAGAGAGAGACCAGAGAGAGACCAGAGAGAGAGACCAGAGAGAGAGACCAGAGAGAGACCAGAGAGAGAGACCAGAGAGAGAGAGACCAGAGAGAGAGAGACCAGAGAGAGAGACCAGAGAGAGAGACCAGAGAGAGAGAGAGACCAGAGAGAGAGACCAGAGAGAGAGAGACCAGAGAGAGAGACCAGAGAGAGAGACCAGAGAGAGACCAGAGAAAGACCAGAGAGAGACCAGAGATTAGTCCTGAGACCAGAGAGAGACCAGAGAAAGACCAGAGAGAGACCAGAGATTAGTCCTGAGACCAGAGAGAGACGAAAGTAAGAGACCAGGTGGGCTTACCTTGTAGCACCTGTACTTGTAGAGCAGCACCAGGAAGATTGTCATGATGACGATGACACTAATCATGATGATGGTGTTTAGGACCGAGTTCAGGAGTCTGCGCCCGACGGACGACGTGTTCTCACTGAACGGAGTGTAGATCCTGAAACAGAAGGGGGTTTCTCTGGACTCTCTCTCTGGTCTCTCTCTCTCTCGTCTCTCTCTCTCTGGTCTCCCTCTCTCTGGTCTCTCTCTCTCTGGTATCCCTCTCTCTGGTCTCCCTCTCTCTGGTCTCCCTCTCTCTGGTCTCCCTCTCTCTGGTCTCCCTCTCTCTGGTCTCCCTCTCTCTGGTCTCCCTCTCTCTGGTCTCTCTCTCTCTGGTCTCTCTCTCTGGTCTCCCTCTCTCTGGTCTCTCTCTGGTCTCTCTCTCTGGTCTCTCCCTCTCTGGTCTCTCTCTGGTCTCTCTCTGGTCTCCCTCTCTCTGGTCTCTCTCTCTCTGGTCTCTCTCTCTGGTCTCTCTCTCTCTGGTCTCTCTCTGGTCTCTCTCTGGTCTCCCTCTCTCTGGTCTCTCTCTCTGGTCTCTCTCTCTGGTCTCTGGTCTCTCTCTCTGGTCTGTAGCATAGCCACAAATGTTTAAAAGGTGTGAATGTGTGTTTAGGTGTATTTGTTTATGTTTTGTGAATGAACTGGGGGGGCGTGTCCCTGGGGGGGCGTGTCCCTGGGGGGGCGTGTCCCTGGAGGGGGCGCGCTCATCAGAGACCTGCCATCAGGTGCGCGGGGAAGAGAGACTGGGGAGCTTTTTGGTTTTGGACACGGCTCGAGGAGACCACGAGAGACTTGAGTCAGAGATCTGTGGGGGGGGGGATTACTGTAGCGGACTGTACAGACCCTCGGGACGGACCCGGCAGGAGAGCCCGGTCGCCGCTTACGCACTCACCCACTGCGCTCTGCCCACACTCTGAACGTTTGGATTACTTTCCCAGTTGGATTACTTTCCCAGTTGGATTACTTTCCCATTTGGATTACTTTCCCAGTTGGATTACTTTCCCAGTTGGATTACTTTCCCATTTGGATTACTTTCCCAGTTGGATTACTTTCCCGTTCTGTTTGGATTACTTACATGGTTTTGTCAACTCTTGGATTTGCCTTTTGAACTACACGGACTATCACCAGGTTTTACAGTGGGGTATATACGGTGGGCGCGGGGAGGACTAAGTCTGATATATTCATGGGTTAAAGTTGAAAAAATTCCTGAGCCTGAACCATCTATATGAATCATAGAATGATCACTAATAAGCGTTTTTTATAAGCGCCTTTATACGCTCATACATATAATTGATATCTATTTATTGCCAACAACTGATGTTTATTATAAACATCAGTTGTTGGCAATAAATACATCATCTGACTATTGAATTGTTACTTAAATGTAAAGCCTCACCTTGCCAAGACCTTTCTGCAAGTACCCCTAGTTTGGATTTGTGTGATAATGTAAAAAAAAAAAAAACATACCACATCACAGTAAGTGAATATACTATTTTCTTTTTTTTAATTATTATTGATGTTATTACTAACATTTTATGTGTAAACTGTAAACTGATTAAACATCCAAACTAGACATCAGATATGACATACAAAAACTAAAAACACTGGATCAGGCAACAAGAACACTTCCAGATTCAACCTTAAATATATAAATAAACCTTAACTTTTAAATTCTACTTATTAAACATTTAGCTTTCAACACAAATAAATGAAACTAAAGTGCAAATGAGCTTTGTGCTGTGTGTCTTCATAAAGCACCTGTGTTAACTTTCAATAGACTTTGATTTGGTAAAACATTACAAAACAACACAAATGCTAACAGTACTGTTTGAAATATTCATTTCTTTTTCTTTTGTTTAGGGTGTGAATTATCTGTATGCTTTCTTTTTAACATGTTGGGCGGAGGGTTTAATGAGGAGGCTACTTTGTCTGAACAATTAAATAGAGGGAAAAAACCGCATGGTCCAGAGGAGGAAGCAGCTGGTGCAGAGGAGAGTTGTCTGGCTGGTCCAGAGGAGGAGGCAGCTGGTGCAGAGGAGAGTTGTCTGGCTGGTCCAGAGGAGTGGGCAGCTGGTGCAGAGGAGTGGGCAGCTGGTGCAGAGGAGGAGGCAGCTGGTGCAGAGGAGAGTTGTCTGGCTGGTCCAGAGGAGTGGGCAGCTGGTCCAGAGGAGGAGGCAGCTGGTGGAGAGGAGGAGGCAGCTGGTGCAGAGGAGAGTTGTCTGGCTGGTCCAGAGGAGGAGGCAGCTGGTGGAGAGGAGGAGGCAGCTGGTGCAGAGGAGAGTTGTCTGGCTGGTGCGGTGGGGCTGCAGCCTTTTTATCATCTCCTCTGGACCAGCCAGACAACTCTCCTCTGCACCAGCTGCCTCCTCCTCTGGACCAGCCAGACAACTCTCCTCTGCACCAGCTGCCTCCTCCTCTGCACCAGCTGCCTCCTCCTCTGGACCAGCCAGACAACTCTCCTCTGCACCAGCTGCCTCCTCCTCTGGACCAGCCAGACAACTCTCCTCTGCACCAGCTGCCTCCTCCTCTGGACCAGCCAGACAACTCTCCTCTGCACCAGCTGCCTCCTCCTCTGGACCAGCCAGACAACTCTCCTCTGCACCAGCTGCCTCCTCCTCTGGACCAGCCAGACAACTCTCCTCTGCACCAGCTGCCTCCTCCTCTGGACCAGCCAGACAACTCTCCTCTGCACCAGCTGCTTCCTCCTCTGGACCATGCGGTTTTTTCCCTCTATTTAATTGTTCAGACAAAGTAGCCTCCTCATTAAACCCTCCGCCCAAAATGTTAAAAAGGACATTCAAAATTCTGTCCACATTTGTTTGTGGACACTCAATGTTTAAGAAAAAGGTTTCCCTATCAACTTGGTGCTAGTGCACAGCGCAGTTTTATCAACTGCAAATGATTAATG